TTTTTACTCTTAGTTTCGGTGCTATTTCGGTCTAACGCACACATAGAACCGGTTATCAGCCGTCAGAGTGTTTGTTTTGCTCATTTGTGCGGTTGTTTTGTTCGTTTTATTGCCTCAGAGGTCATAAGCCAGCAGAGTGATAAGGTAGGCAGAGCCCAGCCGAGATCAGTTGCTGTGACTGGAGCTCGGAGCCTGTCACGGTGTTGTCACCCGGCTGGAAACAGGGGGGGATTCTGCCCCTGGTGCACGCTAATAGTTGGAAGTGCTGAGCACAGTTAAACAAACACGAAGCAACAGCTGTCGAGTGCAGGCTGGATGAGTTCTGCTGTTGTGCTGTGAGGTCAGCCCGCCGTTCTGAAAGGTGTGGATCCCACAACAAGGCTCCTGCTCTTCAGCCCTGGTCACTGCAGCAGTGTGTAGTTCTGCTTCTCTGCGTGGTGTGACAGACCAGCTGAAAATCTTTGTCTTCACTCGTCTTTTAAGGGCTCTTAAACATTTGGAATAAAAAAAAACCCCAAAGGGTGGCACTGACGCTTCCTCTACCTTGGAATGTAAAGGGAAGAAGCTTCCCCTCCAGGTGGAAAAACACTTTCAACACTTTGCATTATTATATCTGTAATCCCAGCCCTTACTTTCTCAGCTGCCAATGTTGTAACAACTCACATTTCACTTCAGGAGACTTTGAGACACGTTTTTAATGCTGGTTTTCTCTTGGGAGCAGAGGGACTGGAAGTTTGCTTCCAGTAATAGCTCTTGTCCTTAGCAGCCCTTGGCATAGAGTTTGATTCTCCTTTTGTAAAATTATGTACCATAGTAGAATTTCTACTTGCCACATTTCTGACTGGAAAAAACAACACCATGCTATTATAAGTGTCTTTGGAAAGTTTTTATTGTGTTAATGTTTTATTTCGCAATTTACTTTTTCCTTGCTGTGGGCCTGGCATGTCATTTTGTTCTCTTTGCTCCCATTACACTAAGGCTGGTAGAGTTTGGTTGTCAGTGTTGCCTGTTCTGTTGTCAGGTTGATGCCTGTGTGCTCTGGGCAAGCACAGAAGAGACTCAAGCATTCATGAAAAGTTGCTAAATGAAGCATATGAAGAAATTTTTCCATAATGTTTCTAGTAGTAACTGCCAAAGGTTGCTTTGGTATCTTTTTGTGATTTTCAGGCTGTATGTTTGCACAAATGTGCATCTAATTCCTTTCTGTATTGCCCTACCTTACAGGTTGGCTTGCAGTCAGCTTTGCTAATTCTGGAGGGTTAATTTTGTCATCAGAAATGGAGTACAGGACTCAGCTACCACACTCTGAGTGACCAATCCTTTCATACAAAATGGAGAAGAAACGGAGAAAGAAATGAGCCTGTTCATAAGGCTGTACCTCAAAAGACCATGAAATCTCTACTTACTTTGGACACAGCTTTAAGAATATCCAGTTGATCAGCACAGTGCAAGCAACGTTTACTGAAACAAAAATGAACTAGTTTATAAAGAAGAAAACTGTGATTTGAATATATGGAATCTTTGGAATGAAACAATTTTCTTCCATGAACATGAAGTTTGCAAACATCTGGTTTGTTCTGGTTGTTATTTTACTCTGTGGCAAGAAACACTTCAGTACCAGACTAGGGAATTCCTCTCATGAGGCTCACATATGTCCTGGCTGTTCTCGCCTTACTTTGAAAGTGGAATTCACTTCGACAGTCGTGGAACACGGTAATAAACGAGTTAAGCAGTAAAAAATAAATATCCCTGTGAGGTTCCAGTGTATGTTACTGATTTGTGGTATTTGTGCAGTTGTACCATTCAAGAGTTTCTCTAGAAGAAAGAGAAGCAGATTGTTTGCAAGGTTCTTTGTTTAACTGGAGACAAGATTCAAATAAGAGAAAGAAGTGAAGGGGGAAATAAAGAGGTTGTTAAAAGTGGAAATGAAGTGTGAAGACAAATCTGGTCACTTTGGTGTGTTTAGTGACTGTTCTGACTGGGTCAGTGGTATCGTTGAGTCTCTTTTAGGAAATGTAACCACAAGTGGGCCTTGAAGGAGTGAGAAAGGCAAGAAATCTCAGTGGGTTTGTTAAAGAAAACATTTGGAAGCGTAGGTACATGCATGGAAAAATTGTGAAGGGAGCAGATGAAAGGCACGGTGAGGCAGGTATTGCTGCTGAGAGGAGAGGACAGCAGTAGGACACCTTGATCTGTGTCCCCTTGCTGCCTCAGGTACCTGTGATACTGGGTGAAGCTGTGTGTGTGCCTGGCTGCTGGCAGGCAGGGTGTCAGCAGTGACATTTCTGTGCCTGGTCAGGCAAAGACACTGAGTGTGCTGGGGCACAGGTCTGTCAGAAATCACTGGTGCAGATCAAGGACAGGGCTCTTGGGAGCAGCTTTGTTATCTCTGCTTGTCATGGTTGGTGTCAGTAATTTGCACTAAAACTCAATACCATGCAGAGGCAAAAGATTCCTTAAATCATGCATGCCAGGAAGCATATTGAATTGGCATATCAGACAGTTTGTACTTGCTGGATGTAGCAGTAGTCTGTTCCCTCTCCCTGCTCCCCCCACATCCCTTCACTTTCCCATGGTATTTACAATTCTGCCTTCCTTCCAAAGGTTTTTATCACATTTTGCAAGTTTCCTGATGAAAAAAAGTAAATAGTTTACATAGTGCAGAAATAAACTGCAGATTCTAAAAGCAACAAAAAAGTGCCTCTAATTGTGATGATTTGTTCTGGATAAAGAAAAGGAAATTCACAGACCTTTATGATGTGAATGCATGAGTAAGCTGCTTAAACATCAGTTCTGATAAGTTATGTTCTTGTTCCAGAGTATATTGTGGCTTTTAATGGATACTTCACAGCTAAAGCTAGAAGTAAATTTATTTCAAGTGCACTAAAAAGTAGTGATATTGAAAACTGGAGGATTGTACCTCGCAACAACCCCGCCAGTGACTATCCTAGTGATTTTGAAGTTGTTCAGATCAATGAGAAGCAGAAAGCTGGAGTCCTGACACTGGAAGATCACCCAAACATCAAGCGTGTAACACCTCAGCGCAAGGTCTTCCGATCGCTCCAGTATTCTGAATGTAAGTCATTTTCTGTGTGTTTGCATGAGATCTGCTGTGGAAAAGTCAGCTTTATTTCAGACCATCAGCTTAGCATTGCACAGGGGGCAAGTGCTCTATAGTTTTTTTCTTGCATTTACAGAAATCTATTATTTTGCCTAAAAAATTGTCGGGGTCTTGTCATCCCTTTGCCAAAGTGTGGCAACGATTCCATCTGTGGTGCAGCATCATTTCTTCTGCAGCAGTGAGCTGAGACTATGGGCTACTGTATATCCCTTATGAATAGAAAAGGAGCTTCTACTGATTTTGATTAGAGAAAATGGATACTCACTCATCTAAATTATTATAACAATTGTTATAATAATTGTTATAACAATACAATGCGTATATTTGCGTAATCGTTTAATGTTTTGTGGTTTTCCTCATTCTGGGTTTTCTTTCCTTCACCTTCATTCTGCACAGCTGATCCAGTGTTGCACTGCAATGAAACCAGGTGGACTCAGAAATGGCAGTCATCCCGTCCCTTGAGAAGGGCAAGTCTCTCTTTGGGTTCTGGCTTCTGGCACGCGACAGGTCGGCACTCGAGCAGGCGCTTGCTGAGAGCTATCCCACGCCAGGTTGCTCAGACCTTGCAGGCAGATGTCCTCTGGCAGATGGGATACACAGGTATGCTTTTGTCTGTTGGCTTAGAACAGTGACCTTCTTTGGAAAAAACAAGTGAAGTGTAAGGAAATGCTAATTGGCATCCATGTGTTAATCTCTCATTGGGTGCTAGTTCTGGAAAGACTGAGAAATACTTTGTTTTGAGCTGCACTAGGGAGTTCTCTTCTGTGTGTGTACTGTACTTGAGAGAAATCAGTTATATTTATAATCTGTGGTTGAATTTCTGAATTGGAATATGGGTCTTCTTTAAAATCTAAATAAAATGACCAAAAAAAATATATCTAAAATTTTAACAAGTGACTGAGGTTGTAAATTGCTCAAACATACAGGTTTTCTTTAACTTGATAGAATTGCTATG